GCCAGATGTCATAGCGCTTCAGGAGCCTGGAACGCCACCCATATTTTCAGGTTATGAGTCCTATAATAGTCAAACAAAGGGCAAAGCGGCCATCCTGATTGACAAAGCGCTAACCGCAGTTGGCTTAGACAATATCCCAGACACCAACATAGAACATGTGATTGTGGAGCTAGTTCTCAGACAAAAAAAGAAAGGACAAAAGCGAAGTATCATCATTGTCAACGTATATAGCGCCCCAAAGCAAAAAACCACTGACTTCCATGCCCTCGTCCAAGGTGCCTGCCGATTGGCCCAGGGAAAAGAACTCTTACTGCTCGGCGACTTCAACGCTCTCGACGAACGCTGGGGTTACAACCGTTCGGATTTCAAAGGCAAACAGCTTGCGGCTGCCACTGAAAAATTTCAGCTTGAACTGCTTACGGATCCCGCGTTCCCTACCCGGATTGGCAACAGTGTGTGCAGGGACACTTGCCCCGATCTCACCTTCGCCCGTGGCCGTGCAAACTATAACTGGGACAACCTGTAGGAATTCTTGGGCAGCGACCACTTCATTCTCCGCACAAAAGTTACAGAGAGCGCAGCGCGTCGGTCTATTGGAGAAGCACGCATCACAAACTGGGACGCCTGTCGTCGTGAGAGCGAATGTTCACTCGACAGCCTCACAAGCCTCACCGACTGGTGCACCCAACTTAAAGAAATTTGAGAGCGTTGGACCACCACCATTAACAGAACACCTGCACTGCCGGAAGTGGACGGCCATCTGCTACATCTGTGGGAAGCCCGAAGGAGCCTCATCCGCAGATGGAGGACGCAAAAACATAACTGACGCCTCAAGCTAAGGATCGCCACACTCACCACTCAGGCAGAGCAGTACGCTACAGAATTGGCGCGACTCGATTGGGCCCAGTTTAGCGACTCTCTTCGAGGCTCACTGGGCACGGCCCGCACGTGGCACATTTTGCGTGCTTTGATGGACCCCACTCGCACAAAAAATGAGACGAATAAGTCAGTCATGCGCCTCATACACGCCTTTGAGGGTACTGACGATGAGCTGCTGGATCAAGTCCGGCGAAAATGCTTTGGCGATTTCTACCCACCCGCATCTCAAGCTGCGTATCGTGGACGTGCCAATGACACTCTCGACCGACCAATAACGGTGGACGAAGTTTACGCAGCCATTCGCAGCAGCAATCGCAACACAGCTGCTGGGGCAGACGGAATCACGTACTCCCTTATCAGGAACCTCAACGACAGCGCCGTACAAGAAATCACGGCGTTTTTCAATGATCATTGGCAACGTGGCACGCTTCCTCCTGAATGGAAGCACGCGGAGGTCATAATGATACCGAAGCCTGGCAAAAAACTTCAGATCGAAAACCTCCAACCAATATCCCTCACTTCCTGCCTTGGTAAACTCTTCGAGCGCGTCATCACTAATCGCGTGCAAGATTACCTCGAAGACAATGACCTTTTCCCGCACTCAATGTACGGGTTCCGGGCACATCTTTCAACGCAAGATGTACTGCTACAATTAAAAGAAGTCATTGATAACGCCCCCCAGCAAGGAGAAAACATTATCTTGACTTTAGACATTAAGGGCGCATTTGATAACGTTAGCCACCAGGCCATACTTGAGGGCCTCGAGGCCCTTCATTGTGGGCAGCGCGTCTACAGTTATGTTCACGCCTTCTCGTCGGACCGCACTGCCACAGTCGGTCTCGGCTTCATCCGATCAGATGTTATCAAGGTTCCGAACAAGGGCACCCCGCAGGGCTCAGCGATTTCCCCGCTACTCTTTAATGTAGCTATGATTGGCCTGGCACATGAACTCCACCGCATCGATGGCATCCATCACGCAATGTATGCGGACGATATCACCGTCTGGGCCACGCGGGGGTCCCTTGGAGAAAAAGAATATAACCTGCAGCAGGCAGCCACATGCGTCGAACAATACGCGCAGGCACGAGGCCTGGCCTGTGCAACAGAAAAATCTGAGCTTCTACGAATTTATCGACGCAAGCTCCCACCATCGACGCAGAACAATCAAGGCTCCCGCCTCCAGGTTGTCCTTGCTGGCAAACAAATCCCAGAAAAATCCACCATTCGAATATTAGGCATGTGGGTACAGTCGAACCGCCATGTGAATCACACACTTTCCCTTCTCCGCACCGCTACACTGCAAGTGGCCCGAATGATATCTCGGGTAGCCACTCGTCACCATAGCATGCGCGAGGAGGACACCCTGAAACTCATACGTAGCCTCGTGGTCAGTAGGGTGACATACAGTTTGCCCTACCAACGCCTCACCAAGAGCGAACAGGCCCAAGTAGACGCAATGCTCCGCAACGCCTACAAAGCGGCACTCAAGCTACCATCGGGTACTCCTTCTAGCAAGCTCCTCGCATTGGGCCTACACAACACCTTTGAAGAACTTTGTGAAGCGCAACTCGCCACACAACTGCAACGGCTCAAGCAAACACCTACAGGCCGTGACCTGCTCCTACGCCTCGGCTACATCAGCCAGTTTCACGACGCAGCTCGTCGCAAGCCCATTCCGGACCAACTTCGTGCGACTTATAAGGTCGCTCCCATCCCCCGCAATATGGATCCCCGACTACATCAGGGCCGGAGGGAAGCCAAAGTGGAAGCTCTCGAGCGAACTTATGCGCACAAAAACACTACGTACTATGTTGACGCCGCCAACTACGACCATGCAAACAATAAGGCTGTAGCCACAGTCGTGGACCACACACTCACAGAACGTACCAGAGCTTCCGTGCGGTGCCGCAACATCACCGATGCTGAAGAAACTGCCATCGCGCTCGCTCTCGCCCTCGGTTACAGACAACGAAGGTCGCTAACAGTTCTCACGGACACTCAAGTAGCTTGCCGCAACTACCTACAGGGGCGCATCAGCCAACCCGCTCTCAGCGTCATCATGAGCGTTAGACACTGGCGAGCATTCCATTACACATCCACTCAGAATTTGGCATCGGATTATATGGACTCCGGGCCACATGGGACTGGAGGGGAATCAGGCAGCGGATAGGGTAGCTCGAGGGTATGCGAGCCGAGCACCTTCCAACTCCGCCCCTGAGGAACTCGTTCCGGTCCCTTGCGACTATTCGGCCATCCTAAACCATTACAGAGGACTTAGGAAAGCTTATTCGCTACCACACCGAACACTAAATAAAGAGGAATTGGTCACCTGGAGGCAAATTCAAACCGGCACGTTTCCAAATTTGCACATCCTGAGTAAAATGCACCGCTCGGCATACTCTCCTCTCTGCCCGTGGTGTTCAGCTAAAGCCACTCTGTACCACGTCACGTGGGAGTGTCAGGCCATTACAGCCTTACAACCAGTACAAAATCCAACAGCGGAGCGATGGGAGGAGCTGCTGGCCAGCGAGAACCTGGAAGATCAGTTGAGTCTGATCAACCGGGCCCGCAGAGCGGCTGCTGCAAGCGGAGCCCTGGACTAAGGCCCCCCCCCCCCCCCCCCCACCGCAAGCCAAGCATGTCCGACTACTCGGAGCTTCTCCGCAGAAAATTTCATGTAAATAAATAAATAAATATGTTTTCATCACCCCCTACATACGCCGCACCGCGCCTACGAATGCGCGGTGCGCCTACGAATGCCGGCGAATGCGCGGCGAATGCGCGCCTACGAATGCGCGGCGAATGCGCGGCCATGAACTCACTGCCGGCCGCAGCGGAGGCTAGCGCGCGCAAGGAATGTTCGGGTTCCTACCTGCTGCTGCACTTCCTGGTGCCACCAATGCGATGGAAACACGGTAGCAAGTATATATGACAACTCTGATCTCTGGAGAGCGTCTAAATAGTCGAAGTATATTTGTAGATGCGAAACAGCTGTTCGTCTAGCCTGTGTAACGCTGTCCCTCCATTCGAACCACACTTCTCGCCGCGGGTGTTGGAGCGGTGCCAAGTAGCTCATGCTTTTCCTAGCAGAGCGCGGTGACTTCTCCCTTGTCTGCCGTGCGCTCACCGCTTGTCAGCTCTCTCTCGCTTCAACCTCTCCACCACTCGCAACGCTCGAGCCCACTCCTCACGTGGGCATCATCTCACCCGCGCGAACTTTCTCAAATCTGTCGGCGAGAAAAAACCGCGAGCCGGCAGGAGCGCGCGCTGCGCGCGCCTTGAGAATCTCGCAGCGCCGAACAGCGCACCCCTGCTTGCAGCGCGATCACGCCGACGGGCGGGATGCCGTCGCGGCATGCTTCCGGCTATTGTGCACGTACGTTTCGTGCCCCTCGCCAGCGTCCCGCCTCCCGTGTCTTTGAGCTTCAAATAAACATTTACTCGAGTAAACACTACATTTAGTTTCGCTTCAAATCGTTCTTCCAGCAGTTGCATCGACGCCCGTTTCAACAGGGTCAACGCCGTGGCATCGCTGCTGCTTCTCATCCCATCAGGGTTCATTTCGGAAAGATGTTTTTTTTTTCTTCGTTACTTTGTTCAGTTTCCTGTACTCACGCAAAATCGATAAGTGCCGTCTTTCTTTTTAACATATACGACGGGAGACGCCCCTGGACTGTTTTAGGGCTGGATGACAGCATCGTCCAGCATCTGCTTCACCTCAGAACGTATCCCGTCTTGTTCTTTTCGCGACATGTGGTAGGCGTGCCGACGTACTGGCCGTTTGGTATGGCTCGTTATTATGCGATGTTTCACGGCTGGGGTCTGCCTGATTTTGGAAGTGGACGCAAAGCAGTCACTAAACGTTCGTGAAATCGTGCGTATACGCTCCTTCTGCGTGGAGGATAACTGGCCATTCACATAAATTGTGCCGGCCAAAGTAGTGTCACATTCGGCGGCAGGGGCAATCGCAGTTATACTAGAACAAGCTTCGTCACCAATAGCTATACAACTTTACAATCATTACGCCTATCGTTAGTGCGGTCCTTTCATTGCAGCGAACTTGGTATGTCAGAGCACAATAGCTGTAGCATCGTTCGTAAATGTTTATATTTCATCTGCAGGACGCCTGGATCTACACTTCTCAAGAGCACCCCGGATGACGATGGCTTGGAGGAGCTAGACGTCTCGAGAAGAAATTCCTTCATCACCACGACGTTACCAGCATCTTCCGAACAAGCGTAACCATTATGGTTGAACCGAATCACTTGTGCAAGTTCCTTGTATCGTCTGGCCTATAGTGGAACTCCGAATAATTCTATGCACTGACGACAATCGCTTAGAACGTCTCGTTCGATCTAGCTCGCTCCTTAAAATATTTAAATTTAACAGTAGTGGCGGGGATTGCTGAAAAATTTTGGATAATGAATCGACTAGCGTTCTATTCGATTCGGTAGTCAAACCAAATAGCGCGTAATCAAAATACTGATTTTTTTTTCTACCAGCAACGACGAAAGATGTTCGAATGAACGAGACATTGAAACAATGAGGGGTAAATTTTCTTGGTTGTTCTCATCACCATAACCCAGATGCGTGCAGCCCATATACATACGAGACCGTCGATGCTATATTTAACACAAGAAGAAGGCGCTTTCGTTTGAAACTTCAATGTTGCCGAAGCGATAGACATATATCCACTCATGACATGACATCACGATGCATCAGGTCACTACCATGACATTCATGAAGTTTACTCATAAAGCTCATTTACTATTTATTTATCAGTTTTATTTAAAAGCAGTTCACAAAGTACCATTTCGGATACTGTTGTTACTGCTATATGTCAACCTGCAGTTATAAAGTATCTCAACGAGACAGCGTTCAAGAGCTCGTTTCACCGACATTCCGGCGTCGGTGTCAGTGACGGCGTCGTTGGCTGTAAGCGAAAAAATTTATCATCTTATACGTGACTCAGAAATCGAGAAATATGCAAATTGGATAAGTAATAAAAAGTTCCTGGCCCGAGTGAGGATCGAGTCCGGATTTTGTGCGTTGCGACCGGGTGTTCTACGAGACAGCCACTCGCCTGCTTGAAAATGCAGTGAAAATAACTTTCTCTGCTCGGAAATGCAGTGAAGTAACTTTCATGCTAGATACACGCGTCCTGTATGCGTGCTTCACAATAAATTTATTATTGCAGTAATAATGCGTGGTACAAGCATGCATTGCCATCGGGCGTCAGAAAATGGGATTATCATAACGTTTTCAGTGATTTAAAGCTCATCAACTGGTACAAAAGGCACACACATTGCTGTGCCTACTCCCTTAAGGTCCTGTAGTGGGTGCATAGCAAGTTGGAAAGATTTCACGCGCATAATTGCCGGTGGTTTAAAGCATGCTGCCCATGCCATTTGCGAAAGCTTCCCTGACACAAGCCACTTCCAAGTGGTTGAAGTACGCACCAGTGACAGGATATCTCTATCGCGGTCAACTCTTAGAGACGAAGCTTAGGGGTCCCCCAATTCTTTAAAGGCTCCAATCGTTGTTGTATAACAGCTTTCCTTCTGTTTAAATAATCGTGTTTTTTGTCGCTAAAGCAATCGTACTCTCTTTTTTTTTGTTAACGCCTGTGAATGTTTGTTCCTAAATGAAATATGTTACGAGGTTGGTGGCTTATGTAGAAGATTGTATTTACTGGGGAAGTACGCCGGCAAGTTCTTGTTCTCGTTCACCTGTTGCCCGTGGCGCATAACGCTGTAGGGAATCGGCCAAGAATTGAGTGGCTCTATAAAATAGTATGCAGTTTTAAAAAATATTAAAGCTGATATAATGGAAATAATGGAACTTTGTATTGATGGAAGATAAAACATATTATTAGAAAGATTACAGATTACCTATAGAAAACAGGCAAGAGTCGCGATGGCTGACCGACACACTAGCGCACCTGTCAGCTTCTGCCACTCGTTTTCTTTCACTTCATCTCCGTAACAGGACTTCCGGGCGTTGCAGCGCCCTCTCGATGCTATAGTCCGAAGAAGTGCTTAGAGCAGTAGGATTTCATGCGCGAAAAAAAATGCACAATCTCAAGAGGTGGCGAACGTGGTGAGGTATCAGCGTGCAATGGCGCTATCTCGTAGTTCATGTCGCTAACTTAACGTAAGACTTGGGTATAGGGTCCTATATAGCAGGACAAGAGTCGTACGCGGTGACATAGTGACCAGAGTAGCACGCAATCACTTGGGGCAAACTTCATACCACGATGTCGGCAGTCGTATCAGACGCGCAATTTTTGTCATTCAAGCTTCTTCTGCCTCTCGTCTTCCTTCACTTTATTTCCGTAACAATATCGCATAATTATTGAGCTCTTTTTTTTAACTGTTACCATACCAGTCTATGGCTGCTCTAAAAACGGTTGCTTTGCTGTTTGAAAATTCAATTCGTTTGTATTCGAGTGGGTGTTATCATTATTCTAATCATAATTGATTCGGTCCGAAAATTCACTTCTCGCACACCTCTAATAAACAGACATTGCCGACTTCCGCCGAGTAAACTTACAAAAGTTGAAAGTTAGGCGGGCTTCCGTAACTGTACGTTGTATGTCTTACAAATCAAGAAAGACGAAGAGGAAAGGAGCGCTGATTATGGTGATGACAATGGTATCCAATTAACGGTTTTCAAAGGGACAAGCTACCGAAACGCATGCAAGAAGCGGATGAATAAGCTGTATTGCGGCAACCGCGTGTGTTCACTCTATAGACGAGAACTCGCCTTGTATTTCAACAAACCCTGGCTCTCTGCTATGACGTTAGAGAAATTGAAATGGTAATAAAATTACCAATCCTGTGTCACGCGTCTTTTAGTTTTCTATTCCTTCCTCATTTTTCTCGTTCTGTTAGATTAAATACGGTTGAGCAGGTGTCGAAATACCGAAGAGAGCTAGACTTAGGGTAGATTTTGAGAATTTATATGTATTAAGAATGCTTATGTATTAGACTATTAACGTCAGGTTTTAAACCAAGTCGCGAAGTCGCCTTTTCTGGAAGCTATGAAATCGCAATAAGCTCTTTTGATCGGATGAAGGAGCAGTGGTTTTCATGATGCATATTATTGAAATATGTCACGTAACATTGGCAACCATTCTATTTGTGCGCCAATGTACCACTGCGTATAGGCTTCAGTGCGAATGATATGCTAGCTATATAGCTTTGCAGTTGCATCCGAGGCTACCAAAGGGCCCATTTAATGAAAAGAATTTGCAGCTGCATGCATGCGTAGGTAGCATGAAACATTCGTAATTTGAGGCGATAACAACTTGCTTTTAAATATCATGAGCTTGCTCCACCTTGGCGGTTTCCACGAAATTTGATTTCGATGGATTGATATGTGGGGTTTAACGTTCCAAAATCACCATACGATTATGAGAGGCGCCTTGGAAGAGCATTTCGGAAATTTTGACCACCTGTAGTTCATGAACGTGCACCCGAATCTGAGCGCACGGGCATACAGCATTTTCACCTGTATCGAAAATGGAGCCACTGCAGCCGGGATTCGATACCGTGACCTGAGGGTCAGCAGTCGAGCACCTTAGCCACTGGACCACCCGCGGTGGGGCGAACTTGATTTTCAGTCTTGTCAATCTTTAAAAATAAAAAAACAGGCATAATTGCGCATGTTGTTTGTCGTCTTTTTTCACATGGGGTCACTTGGAACTCTCGAGAGTGCCCAGGGTTCACGAAGTTCGTAGCTCAGTACAACTCGCTTTAGTGGCAGCCTTTAGTTCTATCGTTTATCAACCTCAGCTAATGAATCGTTTAAATATTGTTACGAGTAACTCTTACGTATCAATATTCTTAAGGTTTTTTCTTGTTATTAATACCATGGACACACACTAGAGCATGCTTGCTTCTTAACTGCAAGCAGTGGCAAACAAGCAAACATCTGAAGCCAGTATCTACTTGCGAGAGAATGCTTACCTAAGAGATGAAAGAAAAGCTATTTGGAACTACCTATCACCGAAGTGGTGTTTCAATGACATTCTTCGATATTTTAAAACAGCTGCCGCTTCGACCAAGATTCCGTTTGTTGTAGATATTAGACTATCTCACTGATTACAAGCATGCGTTCGGAATGGCTCCGGTTATGACCACCGACATGGCCTGCCAAATTTAGCGGGCAAAAAGACAGTAGCGAGCAGCGAGAGGGCAGCATTGAAGTGATAGTGAAGCTAAGAAACTAGGATGGTGTCCTGTTAATTTCGTTTGCCGAGAACTTTTGTCATGCTAACTGTTTTGCCGAGAACGAGCAACAGGCTCCTCGTGCGGAGCTCGCAGCCACCTGTGACTGGTCGAAGCACCGTGACGTCATTGACGGCATCGTGGAGATAGCTGATGGTAATGGCAGCAGGCGATTCCATGTTTTTTTTTTTTGTCTGTTGAAATCGGCGCGTAGTTGCTCTTATGACAAGGTTTGGCAGTCGCAACGAGTTCACCGTACATCCGTACATGTTCGTGCCGGACGATGCCGCGATGCAGCGCCGATGATGAGGGACAAGAAAGCGTGTCTCAACCGGTAACCTCCACCCACGTCCGAACCATGTGCTGGTACGTATAAGATGCACGTTGGTGCTTAATTTCACTGTAGTAAACAGCAAAAATTATGTAAAGCCGTCGATGTAATATCCAATGGGGATTAGCAGCATTAACACTCTATTTCAGCCACGTTTTGGCATGGTGACGCAATCAGTGTCACACTTCGCTGCAGGCAAGAAGCATGCGATCAGTCTTTGCTATCGCTTGAAAAAGCAACAGAAAAAGCCAAACGAGGGCCACCCCTTGCCGCAGTGGTGACACGGGCTCCGAACTGCGCTGCAATATTGCGGATGGGTGTCTTCCCATGTCACAAAACGAGCGCTAAAAATGGGCGCGCCGCCAAATTCTTGCGATAACGGGCGGGAAAACGCCGCGTGGTCAAAAGAAAAAAAAGAAAACAAACATCCAAGGCTCCCCGGGCGCGCGCTCTCCCCGCGGAAGCGTGGCTTCGCCGACGAACCTCCTCACCCCACAACGGCGGCCGAGCAAGCACTCGATTTTTCTAGAAGGAAAGGGGCGTGGTCATACCGAGTTGAGTCATCCTCCGCGGAGGGCATTCCAACTGTCTCGCTCTCCCCCCAGCCTTCGCTGCGTATCGCGCTGACGAAATGACGAGAACCTTCTGGAATGTCGCGTGGAAGGTATTTAACCGAGCAACCGAGACGAGAGATCAGGAGAAGACGGAAGTTAGCGCCAGAGCGCGTAGAGATTCCGCCGTGTAGTCGGCGAAGGTTCTGTCCGTAGTGACAGAGCAGGAAAAAACGGAAGTTAGCGCCAGAGCGCGTAGGGATTCCGCCGTGTAGTCGGCGAAGGTTTTGTCCGTAGAGACAAAGCAGGAGAAGAGGATGATTTCCACCTGAGGGGTTGTCACACACAGGTCCCGTTTATTAGGGAGGCGATCGCCGGGCTAATTCCAAGGGCCGAAGTATTGGCCCCCCGAACAGCACCACGAAAGCGTGGACAATTTAGAAGTGGTCCTTTTTGGCGCGCCAGCAGACGCCGGCTGTGGCCCAAAGAACAAGTCAGAGCCGAGAGTTGATAAACAAAACAAATATTATATTCTCAAAAATGGCAGATCGAAAACAATACACAAGAATGCACACTCCACAATAGTTACATACAATACGTCACCAAACAAACAACGTACTACACAGTACAATCAACCACACTGGGAACAACGGACACAGACAACAATACGCACTACAATGCAGTCGCATGCATTGAACAACCAAGACACTTAAAGACTAAAGAGATAGAAAACCTATTCAGTCCAAAGTTCTTGGAACCAAAGTCTAGATGATACTCTTCCAGAATCACTCACTCAAAGTCCAGCGTTGTTGTCGTTCCGCAGCCCTCGAAGTTT